CGTGGCGTGATACTAGTCACGTGACCTCGCTGACGCAACAGTATTAAAAGGAATTGTATGTATACATGTTCATAACCTTGACATTACATATCATAGAGTGGCTACAATAATAAGAAAAACAACGAAATTATCTAAATTAAATATATTCTACAAATGTATGTATATTTCCTTGACAACTTCGTCTTAATGCTGTAATATCATTGGTCCTCTGTAATGCTTTTCAAATTCAATTGTTTCTGGTCAGTGCTATTTATCATGGTTTATTTTCATATGTACTTTGAAATATGACCATTTCCTCGAAAGGGGGCCAAATGCCGCCTGGAGGGGGTTACCTGTTCTAACTACTCGCACCGCTTGACAGTAATGCGTTGTCTGTCAGTCAGTAGACGCTCAAATGATGTTACATAAAGGACGCTTAACGTTACAATTTGTACTGCTGTGACGTCAGTAAAACGTGCGCATGCTATGAATGTACTGTGTAGGCTACAACACAGCGTGACATATGTACTTCAAAAGCAAGAAATAAAAATATTTGTCACTATTTATTTTGGTTTTATTTGCTCTTGAAACTGAACACTTTTGGGCACCCTGCGCAAGTACAACTAGTGTTTTCAATATTTTTTATTAACTAAAAGAAGTCCATTTTGAAATGTGTAGGAGTATTATTGTGAGTGGCGTCATCGAGTGGTTATCTCCCAAACAGTGACTCTAACTCATGTGACAAGCGACTACGAACCGAAATACGCTAGGTGTTTTGCGGCATCTATCTTGACGTGGCAGGGGATGCGAGGCCTTTTCCACATCAGCCATTTTGTGTGTTAACTGTATTGGTTTGCTCAGGTGATTGCATAATATACGAACTCATATAAATAAAGGTGAATTGATGTTTGTTTTTCAACAGTTTAGTGATTTAGAGCGTCATATACCGAACTGTGAACTTGTGACATTGGTGCGGTAATTATATACTAATCTAAACTCTTAAGTTGCTAACATTTCTTCGCTTTTTACATTTTATTTTTAAACTTGTAAGTTTACTTTTGTTTTAAGTAATGATACAATAGTAGTAGATTTAAGCTACTTAACACAGTAGTAATCACTGCTACAGTGCTAGTCTGTACAGTACAGTAATACTAATAGGAGTTACAGTATACTGTGTATAGGCCTACGGTCTGACGACACGTTACAACTTAGGTATTTAATTAATTTAACTTTATTTTGCCGTTAATTAATTAATTTCCATAATGATCGACTTAGACAGGGATTATATATCTTTTTTAAAAAAGCTCAGTTTTAATCATAATTCATTTGATAAAATAATAAGTTTAATTTTGTCAGCATTGCATTAACTGACCTGAAGCTGAAGAAATAACTATTTTAGTTTAGGCTATAATTTTAAGTTGAATTAAAACTAAAAGTTAAATCGTGGGATCTGTATTTAATAAATAACTAATAAGCCTGTTTACTATAAATATAATTTAGGGACCAAGCACATTTCATGGTTAAAACTTACAAAACCAATTTATTGATTTATTGAACTTTAAACTTAAAAGTTAAAGCTTAAATTTAACAATGTTCTTGTGTTCTTGAACTTGTACCTCAAGTTGAAGCCAAACTAGTATTAGTAAGACATTTTCTGAAGTTGTGTATCAAGTACTTTAGAATCATTGAGGTTAGTAAATGAATGCACACTCATGTTTAAGAAAGAGTTAACATCAGTGAAGTGTTAACTTTTTATTAGTATATGTATCTATGTTGTGCTATGTTGATGAAACAAGCTGTACCAATTTAAAACCTCCCCTCTTTAGTCTTTTGCCATCCCCAGTTGGAACTGTACATCCTGCTGTAGTAAGCTCTTTCTTAAATCTACAAAAAAATTGTAAGTTGTAATAGATTGAGGACCACAAGTTTTTTAAACATACACAATACATTTATTGTGATAGCACAATAGAGCATGAGTAACAGTAAATTATGAGACAGAATTGTTTTCAACCTCAATAAAACTTTTACATTGGAAAAATAAATATCGATTGTCATTCCTATTTAGTGTCAATCAGTGTGTGTGTGTTTGCTGCCAG